TGTCAATGTTTTCAAATGCTCAGGGGTTTTCGGAACAGTAAAAAAGAAAAGGTTTTCATTTAAACCCAGCAGCATGTCATCCAAGCAGTGGTGTGATTCTGTCTTTAAATGCCTTGAAACCAGGCATTGACTTTGCCTCTTTGTGAATATAGGTCCGTTCTGGCGTCCTTTTCCAAGGAACAAGCCTGTTTCGTCCACGTTGAAAATCTACTCTGGTGGATATTCTTCATCTTGTATTATCTTGTCTAGCTCATCACTGAATCTTTTGGCAGCTTCAACATTGGTGCTTCCTGCTTCTCAGCTATTGGCACATTATGTAAGCAAAATCTGCTTCTGAAGTGATGAAATCAGCCCTTGCTGAAACAGATGGTCCTAAGTGTGGTTCATCGTAACTTGAATATGTCCTAAGTCAGGGACTACCTGTACTTTTCAGTTTTTAAACCAAGTTCAGATGTTCATTTGAGGACTTTCAAATGTATTTTTAAAATACTAGGTAAGTTCAATACCCCCCAGCCAATAAGTATGTATTACTGTATGCCTTCAGGCTCTTTTTTATAGTTTGTAGTATTGAGAGGGCTGACATTAAAAATAATGATGATAATAACCACAGGAGTGGCTACTGCTTGTTTAATCTTAACTATGAACTAGGCACTACACATTATCTCAACTGATCACTATAAAACCTCATTTTAGAGAAAAGAAAACAGGCTTAGAAGTATTATTTGTCCAATGTCACATAGTTGATAACTGGCAAGGTTGGGGATATGAATCCAAGTTTCTATGATAATAAGTTCAGGCTCCACTATCTCCCAGTAATCAATAAATCAAATTATTTCAGAATTAAGAACATTAAAGAAATAAGGGGGAAAAAACAAGCCATAGGTCATATACTACTTGGATCATCTTAACAGAATTTTTACTTTCAGCAATACATTTCTTGTTTCTGAGTTTTCCTTACAATTTACAGCAATGGGTTCCACACTGTGTTTTGCAAAATCATAGTTTTTCAGAGATAATCATGGGTTCCACAGAGGTTTCCTTTTAAATTATACTTTAAGATTTCAAAACTGTAATAGAAACTAATCTGCACACTCAAATATGCCATTTATGTAATTTTAATATTTTGAAGACCATCAGGATGATAACTTTTGCCTCCTGTTTTACTTGTTTTCACACATATCTCAGAATAGTGTCTCTGGCCATCCTGCACATACGTGAAATTCCTATAACATATCACTGATTAGGAAAGTTGTAGTTCTACATTAGTCTTTTAAAAGAATTCATGTCTCCTTATTGAAAACTGT